GTACCCTTTTTATGCTGTCCGTGAGATATAGGAAAAATTTTCCCCCCCAACTATGTATGTTTCGCAGAAATACTGTAGAAGCTTTTCTCACGTCTACACTATCGTTAAAACACCCTCAAAGACGAGGCGCTATTCTACTCTGGATAAGGTCTTTAGAAATAAGAACACCTGAGAGAAGTGCGATGAAGGTATCCGCTGAAATTATTTATGCTAATATGATGGTGTCCGTACTGTTTTCTGCAGAGGAAAATATTGGTAGCTCAGGTAGCGTAGATGATGGTCAAGCCAACGATCAATCCATACTGTTTTGCACGTCGGAGACGCAGGAGCTCCACCTTAGCTGTTGGTCTTTGACCATCGGTGTCTCCGAAGCACACACTGTCTGAGACTGGTGAGAACGATGATTAAACTAATTGATTTTGGGAAGGAGAAGTGAATCACATGAACCTGACACTCGTTTGTTTATCAGTGGATTGTTTCCATCGGAAAGTTGCTTTTATCCGACCCCTTGCTTGGTGGAAACGACAGAAGGGCAACTAGATATCAAGAAGTATCGAGAACTGTGGCTGGGGCGAGATGGATTAAGCGGTTAGAGCGCGAATTTACTGACCGGAAGGTCCGTGGTTCGAACTTGACCTCTGCCACTCGACTTCCCTTGTCTAGGCTTGGGCGACTTGGCAGTATCCCAGCCCTCGTCCCTCCTTCGTGTGGTATGGCAGCTAGGCACCGAATGGGTGCTACAGCTGAATGACTGTGACGCGTAAAATCTGTCCGGCTACCAACGCCCGCGTCGCTGAATGAAAACCACGTCACTTGAGACGTCGTTGTTCAATGCCTTTGACAGACAACCGGTGAGTGACGAGTATGCATCCACATCGTTACCTTTAGCGCATGTCTGCCTGGTTTGTCACCTTACTGAGCAGGTAGACACGGTCCACATCAGTCAACCGACTATTACGTTCATGTTTTTTTAGATGTAAAGGAATAAAACTCTGTTGTGACTGGAAATAAGACCCTTGGTAAGTGACTGATGGGTGGTCAACTGAAATAGACTGAAGTGAGGTGAATTTAACTAAACTGCAATCCTTCCCAGAGAAAACATCGCAGAGGGAGCAGGCGTTTGTTGTCGTCTGAGAACACCGTTTTCCATCTTTCACGCCCTCGATGAGTCATGTTCTGGAAGTTTCTGTGTGTATAGTGTGTGTTTTGGTGGCCGGCTGAATTTAATAGAATAGAAGAGTAGTTGACGTGTCAGTTCATATACTGCCACCTACCCGTCGGCCATTCTGATCCCATTGGATAGCGTTTTTCTGATTAAAAATGCCAAACCGCATTCTGGGGTTTAGGGTTGTCTTGAACGGATAGGAAATGCTTGCAAGCTGTGTATTGGTTGAGACTTTTGGATCCGTTCTTGCAGCACAGATCGAATCGGACCCCGCTTGATTTCGTTCCATCTTGGCGTGTTGAGAAGACTGCCCGGTGGTCGTGTTTGAATCACATAGTAATGAACTGCTGAGTTCTGTGGGGTGAAGCGTGATAAACAAAGAATTAACCAAGACACGATCAGTGACACAGACCCACCAGTGATCAACAGCTGACTGTGAATTGGATTGAAAAGCACAATTTTACTTTCTTCAAAATGTTAGTATGAAACAGCAAATGTTAGACGCGGAACATTCACGAAATTCTTGCAATCAGACAAAAAAGACAACAGTCCGTCCTCTTAGTGTATGCAAATGTTACCATTTGACGCTCGCCTCACGAGCCACTTTTGGTTGACTGGGAACTGCGGAGAATCGTCTGAAATTTGTGTTCCCCAACAAAATTACTGTAACAGAATTTGGATTGCAAAGAGTAGCGGTTATACGGGAACACATGTTCGCTTTCAGCCGGTCAGTGTAACATTTTGTAATGGATCATCGCTTGTGGAACGCACAAACTAGAGGGCTGTTCCTTGTTTTTGTGAAGCAAGGCGCGAATGATTACAACCGAAGCTGATGAATGGAACCATACTACGGCAATACTGCAATAACTTAGTATTTCAATATTTAAGCACTGTGTCCCTTTTTACCTTGCCTTTATTCTCACAATGTTCTGAATTTTAGACACTTATTATGTTTACTATTTTGTGTTTTTTTTGTCAAAAATCCCCCTTACTGTTAGAAAATGTTGCCAGAATCCATCTATTCTCATTAGCAGGGTAAGAAACACATCCCTGAAGAGGCCAACGTCGTCAATTTTTTCAGTTGATGGATCCATGGAGAAACGATATTAATACTACTGACGATCGATAGTCTATTAGTCTGTCTGGATGCTTGTTCAAGTTCGGCCTCAAAATGATTTTATCAATCTGATAAGAATGCAGTCGTAAGTGTATTCTGTGACCCAAAAATCAATACGTCAATTCAGTTATGCCTGATTCGGTTCGTAGCATGTCAGCAACAAACGGGAATTTCTCATTGACTGTTTTTGCGGCCCAAATAACATTCGTATGCAACTAAGGATTTCTGACTTCTTCCCTGATACAGATGCAGAGTCCAGAACAAGTATTGCTTTTATGTCAGTTGATAGAGAAGTTTCGGTAATACTGGATCTTTAGAAAAATATATCTTCATACAATACTTCAAAGAGTTTCATTTGTCAGTTGAACGGCTGTTTGTTCCTAGTAAAGAAAATTCAGCAAAAACGGGTTCATTTTTCATTTCTCAAGATCATTCAAGAGTGACCTTTAATTCCAGAATAACCGTCAAAGCAACATTAATTTCATACTGGCACGCTCAGTATCTATGAAAATCACAAGGTGACGTGACAAGAAATGCAGACATAGAAGGGCAATGACGAAACGAAACTCCGTCCACTCGAGATGTCCTTCTGGGAAATGTGTACTACTTGAGGTTCCACGTCAGAAGTTGAGAATCTTCTAGCCTACCATATTCTCACACTAGGTAATCGTTTTTGCACCACAAATGCTTCAGGAATGCCATAAAGACATCCCAAGAATTTGACTAAGGCATATCAACACGGAAATGATATGNGAATGCCATAAAGACATCTCAAGAATTTGACTAAGGCATATCGACACGGAAATGATATGAAGGCTTGAAAGTTGTGCACGATCTTTTAAGCGAGACTGCCATTTCAAAGTAGATATATCTCGGACCGGATTGCACCTAGCACCACATTCGGCTCCGCACCATCCGCCTCCTTCTAATCTACCCTGCTTAGGCATCGAGCAGAACAGCTACATTTAGGCGGAACGATTCCTTTTGGATGCCAGTCGAACTCATGTACATATGGCCATCTCAACTCCATATTTATTCATTTTTCCCGTGCATAGCATTCCCGGTGCTTTTGATACGGGTTCTTTGTTGTCCTGGAAAGCAACGTAGATTAGGGCTGTTAAGTTCTATGAACTTAACTGGGATAATTGGCTATTAGAAGGACTGCTCTGACGTGTAACGCTGACAATAATTTCGCAAATCCTTGATTACTCACGAGTAACCAAGCAAAATTTCCTAAGCCGGAGATCCTGGTAGGAAGGTTAGCCAGTCGAAATAGCCAGGGGAGTCACCGGGACAATGGTAGACACACAGAACTCATCATAGGCGCCGTTTGCTAGAGAAAGATTATGGCCTGTTTAGAAGTGAATTTTGAAGCTCATCCAGAGTTTATTCCTGGGGTGGTATCACCACGCGCACTTCGCATTTCAAACGCTTGAAGGTCTTTTCCCGGGACTGCCAACAGCATCAATAATGATGTGTGTGAACATGAACGAGACTCAACTCTGTTGCATTTTCTGGAATTATCGCACCACATCGAGAGTACAGCGGCTCGAATACAAGCGATGTGGGTCGAAGTTCTTCGAATACCTCCGCCATTCATAAATAACCAAGTTGAATTATTATCGGTCAGAGCCATAACAGGACGTTATTTACGAATTCCTAAGATTTCTTCCATTTTTATCAGCCTTCTACGTGAGGCGTGCGTTTTTAGATTCATAAGATGGTGACAGCATGGAAAGTAGGTGAAAACGTTCAATGTTTCGAGGCTTAGTCTGAGATTAGTGCCAAGGTGTACAGCTGTTTTAGTGAATACACGTACAAAACTCAGGTGAGTCGTTACTGCCTCGTTGGATGCTAATACCCGGGGTGTTCGACTGCATAGTGGGACAGCGGATGTTCGTCTTGGGTCGATGAGATAACTGTGATCTCCAGATCTCCCTTTTCTTGTAAGTTATGAAATCTTGTTAATGACTTGCTGCAAGCTCCATTGGGAAAATATTCAATTACTTTAGCTATCCGTACTGATTTAGCGCCGGAGTAAACACAGCTCTCAGGAAATACGCTTGTACGCTTTTTTAGTGGACTTGGTTTTAGAGCTGCGAAGGTGAGACATCCAGTTAATGGAGCAAAGAGACAGAGGCACCTGACCAGATCTTGATGTTCAATAATCTGACCTCTAAAAGCGTACATTTTTAGTGCAAATTTTTGGCGAAAATTTAGCATTGCAACTATTGCTTGGCGTTGTGCCTCCAAAATTTTTACGGAAGGTATCCGACAAATCAATTCATTAAAATGGTGAGTTGGTCACCCCTGTCTTAGGCAATCATTCAACCTTTCTATGTTGATGCGTTTTGAGGTTCTGTTGCCATCGAGAAATACCACTTCTGTGGACTTCAGCATTCAGCTCTACCGATGTGTCCGCCTTCCTTTGGTCCCTCTAGTTTCGCCTGATGCAAAGAGTCGTGGCGGTTTTATCTTTAGGAATTACCATAGCTTTTGACAGATTTGCATGCTCTGACCCGTCACTTACGCAATCCACCTTCGTTTTTCAACACAGGTTCATTTACTGAACAATAATCATGTTTTTTAGCTCTGCTTATACATTAGAGGGTGCCTTTTCTACCTTTATAATCACGGAAAGTGCCCACTGGAACAATATTTTATCAACTTTATGCTCCAATTCATCGACATCCAGGTAAGATTTCGGACTTACCATAGCAACAGCGCAGTTGTACCGAACTGCATCGTCATCAATTTAAAAACTGAAGATTCGGTCATTTTAGTCACGTGATTCTAACACGGAGGGACGGGTGACTCAAGATCATCATTACCTAATAATGCCTCATTTTATGTGTGATTACGTACAGTTGGTGAAGTGGAGAGAATAACAAGAAACGAGACGACATTATATACGCCAGACTAAAGTTTTGGAGCGAGAAAAAAGTGAGACCAACCTTGAACTCTGCAAGGAACCCGGTTGAGTTTTTCCGTGGAGCCAGTCGAAATAAAATAGGGATGCTTGAGCAAATCCGAACAACTCCATCTTTCGGACGGATCCATCCGAACGCAACACTGTAGATCGCACAAAAAAAATGGGGCAACCGAGGGTTGTAAGATTAGCTGAGCTGAGCTGAACTGAAAGGTTCGTTCAAAAATCGAATGATTGCTTGGGTAATTGAAGTACAGTCTGGTGTTTTTCCATTCCTACTTTATGAACGACTAGCCGTGGTGATATGCACGCCAGAAGTACGGCACAGTGGACTTTCATGATTGCTTGGGTAATTGAAGTACAGTCTAGTGTTATTCCATTCCTACTTTATGAATGACTAGCCGTGGTGGTATGCACGCCAAAAGTACGGCACAGTGGACTTTTACTGTCATACTTGCCACATGGGTCTTTGCAGGAAAATTCCGTATGGATGCACTTTCCGTTGGCGTTCCTTCCAAATGGAGCTCCGCAGCATATTTGGTTTGGTGGTAGAATTATTAAGTGACCAGCCCCATTTCAAACTAGCCGACTCTGTATTGAAGCTCGGAGAATGCTGGTGTCACCCTTGTAGTGTATTAGTAAGTCATGTTTAGAATCTATGAACATAAGTTCGGATGCTCCCAGCACACTATGCCCGTATTTGATTCGTATAAATACACCATCGATTGCACCCAAGTGCTCCATTCCTATGCTGTCTAACAGTTTAACAACCCGAATCATGCAAGGATACTTCTTGGAAAGAAATCAACCAGTGAAACCTCTACAAAACTAGATATTTTTTGCCTCGGAGTATTTGGCTAACGCTTCTCTGATTACGTCTCTGTAGAGTAGAAAGTGACATTCTCTCCGACTGGGCGGAAGATGGTCGTTGGCTTGTCCGCTGAGCTGGGCAGTTTGATTGCAAACACATCATCATCAATCGAGGTGACATCATCAGTGCGTTGTTGGGGAGCGTAATCGTGGATTAGTGGTTGTGCTAACCCACCGCTATACACCACTACGCTTCCCGGTAACGACCATCTACGCTTTTTGAGCTACCACCATTTTCCTCTATGGGTGGAAGATGTTCAAAAACATTCAAGAACTGTTCAGCTGATGGTGTGTTTGGTGTTTCAAAAGCAAACGGAGTGATTATACGTCGACTTGGCTAGTTCCCGGCGGACGAGGAAATACTGTAGCCACTGAAACCAAATCGTCAGTTGAGGAGGAATCAGATAAAAAGAAAGTGAGTTCCAGTCGGTTGTCTACGACAAACTGTGTGCCACTTATTCATCAAGTTATCCTAGTTGTACAGTAGCAGTGAAGGAGCGAAGCTTGAGCGAAGCTGTTCAGGATAGCATTTTTTTGACGAGGGTTTTCTATTGGTTACTCGCGTCTTGCTGCATTGTGCACACATTACCAAGAGTCCACATCCCAGATAAGACGGGACAACAAGAAACAAACTACGCCAGCTTTCATTTAGTTTGCCTTAGGAATTCCCGTAGATTTTCTGACATCTAGACTAAAATTATGGACCGTGCTCAAATCAGAAAAGATGCTCCCGTTTGACTGATTAGACTTGACAGGTGGTCAGAAATAATGGGCAACCAAGCGATCACGCACTCTCAAATGTAAGACACTGGATAGAAGTATCATTTTTGGTTGCCGAACTACATAGGATGCATTGAAAGTTGCGTTTCCGGTAGAATAGTAGATCGTCTGTTCACAAATACCCGACTCAAGTAAAAATGGGTCGCTACTGGCGTACCCGATCAGAGCTGAAGTCATCTGTTTGCTGAGATTTTTTGCACTTCCTCGGATACTGTATGATTACTAGAAGACTTATCTCAGTTTACAAGTGAGAACACTTCGTATTTTGTGACTTGCTTGGCATACGCAGGGAGACGTTCTTTTTAAATTTCCATAGTGTTTGTCCACTAACCTATTTTGGCCTGTATTTCGATACCGGTACATTTGGTCAATGGAACTTTAACCAGACAGAATAGGTTGAAATGAACCAGAATCCCCACTGGTTGCTTCCGAAACATAACTGGAGGATAGGGAATTTCAAGGCATACAAGCCAAGAGCAGGACCGATTTTGAACAGGATGTTGAAACGCAAAGTCAGTCAGAAATCTTGATTGCGACGATTGCATGTTATCTGACCGAAGTGCAAAAAGCACGGTAGCGGAGAGTTATAGTGGCTATATCTTACTAGAAAGCTATTTATCGCAAATTGCTTGCCAAGCCTTATTCTGAATCCACGTGTCTGGGTGGTGAAAATATGCGAAATTCTCTAGTAAACTGGTTACTTGATCACCTAGATGCGGTGAGGCGTCAGAAATACACATTGTGCATTTAACCGTGGTTGAACATGAGAAAATAAGTAGTGAGTAAACCAGGATGAAGCTTTTTGTGACTGTGGATCTGGGTTTTCGCTCAGTAAATCATTAAAGTTCGCCGAGAAACTATGCTGTTTTTTATTTCTTAAACACTGTCATAATACATTCATTTTCCTGTCCCTTTGAATTGGTTAACTTATACAGTACATTTAGAGCTTTCTGAAAAAGTTCCCTTCGTATATTCAAAAGAATGAACTCAAAATAGTCACTTTACAATTCGAGATCAATCATACAATAAACTGACCTGAAGGAAATCCATTTCCTTGCTATTCAGGCCATTTCCGTTGGTTTTCTCAAACCTCTTCTCCAAAGGCTCCTGTGTAGGCGAAAAAAGATAATAAAGCTACGTTCTAGTGATTCGTGCTATCAAACTAGCGAAAATATGAAATTCGTCACTAGGCAGAATGTCGTATTACATTTAACTCCAACTGTCTGCTGAAACCATACAAGAGTTAGGGATGAAATCTTATGGAGGTGCGTGAAAGAAATCAAATTCACGAAAACACTCCCTTTAGAAAATAACGGATCGAATTCCGGGTCATTTTTGCACCACAAGGCTAGTCTTGCTTAGGACTGTAATCATTGGGTTCTCACTGTTATCAAATTCACGAAAACACTCCCTTTAGAAGATAACGGATCGAATTCCGGGTCATTTTGGCACCACAGGGCTAGTCTTGCTGAGGACTGTAATCATTGGGTTCTCACTGTCGTAGAAAAGCTAAATAATACACAACTAAACTATTCAAGCCGATTAATTGAGAAATACTATCATAGTCTTTTCCCAGTTTTATGAAAGATTTAAAGTCACACTGACAATTCGACAGATACACTCATTTGCAAATTCATCTGACTTCACGGGAGACTCGACCGAATATTTCGTTTATGATCTTCTTCAAATGAATGTGCAGCACAAAGGCCGCCTCATGGTACGACAATGGGGATATCGCTGTACATTTTGATTAAGGAAACTACTCACAAGTTTGTCGAAAACTCTTCGACAGCCCACGACCGGTTTCGCCCTTCTTGGTGCTCATCAGATAGGTGCAATCCCCGAGTTTCCGTCAACTTAATGTTCTACTTGAACACAGATTGGACCGATGTTTACAAGTACACTCATTTGCAAATCAAATTGATTTTCACGAGAGACTCAACTGAATCTATCTCAAAGAAGAGCAGAACCGATTGTAGGCTGTCAAAGAGTTTCAGCAACCTCGTGAGTAGTCTGCTTTATGAAAACTACTCTGACAATCTTTGAAATGGAATAACAAAACCGGATTACGATGAAAATAAAGACTGCACTTGGTCATACCACGCAGAATTTCGTGCGTCATTGCTTGTGCTTTGGAGGAGTCGGGTGGGGAGGGTAGTCGATGTTAAACGTGCTCAGTTGAAAACTAGGGTGCATATTGGTGTACCGGTGATACTACTGATGGGGAAGCACGCGAGTAGTATGTGTTGTTCGTGGAATTTCGCTTTGCGTCTTTTGAAAAGGGGAGATCTGTTGCGGAATTTGTGGAGTCGCTTTTTAACATTTGCTTGGATTTGAGCAGTGAATGATTGGAGTCAATGAATATCCAGGAAAGTTCAAGAAGATGGATGTCCAGTTTTTGTAAATAAGATGCAAATGAGAGTTTTACTTCCCTGTCCATTGGTCTGTAACCGGTCAGTTGACATCTCCTAATAAATAACTCCTCAGCGAAAGTGTTAGGCAGAATTCCACATGGATCCCGCTATACCGCACGTCTTTAGGCGCTGCCGATAAGCCTGACCCTGTAACCGCTTACGATATATATTCGAAGCGCTGTACAACTGTTCTTGACTTCGTTTTGTGCATTAATAGACCTTGTTCACCTTTGGTGGTCGTTTTGACGTGAACGCTAGGTTGGGAGGCTCAGACCGAGAACTAAGCTGAGGAAAATACCGATACTACAGAAGGCCTTCTTCCTTTCGTTGGTATTAGAGACGCCTTCACCAATAAACAATACAGATGATCCAAGGCAAGATGCTTTTGAGTCTTCCGCTTCGTCTCAGTACAAACCACTCAAAACCTCCAAGCTCGCGTTTACTGAGCTGCAACTGTTTTTAGCGCGCCCAAACGTAGATTCAGAATGGAATAGACCCATATCTGCTTGAGATCGGATATCCCTTTCGATGAATACTGGCATTCTTGATCTAACCCAGTACATGTCGTTTCAGCTGCAGATGGCTGTGGGCCTTATCCCGATGAGCAGGAAATGATGTGTGATGTGGAGCCTGACTTGGCGGGGATGTGTGGGATACTCATATCTTTTGTCCACTCACTACTCTCTTTCGTCATGAACATTCAACAGATGGATCAGAGACTCTTCTATCAGTACAACCATAGGCTAGAGTTTTCGAGATGCTTCTCTGTAGCGTCTGAAAGGGACTCGCAGAACTAATTCGATGGTTTGGTACCAGTATCTAGAATGATTATATCATGGTAACCAGCCGTCAGAATACAAACCATTTGTCCTATCGCTCAGACACATGTGCCTTTTGATGCTCAATTAAAAAGTAAGACTGACGAAAACCCGGGCACTTCATCTAAGTTTCCTCAAGGAGTGTGAAACCCGCAGTGGGTTACCGAGGAGTTTTCATCAACCTTATAGATTTTATATGGAACATGTATAGAATACAGAATACATATATCGCGCAATCATTATTGGCTGTGGTCACTCACTATAGTGGTCATCAAAGGGTGATTGTAATGCATTGGATAAACAGTATAGTACAGGAGGAACATCTGAGTTAAGCACTAGCTATAATACTTGCGGTTGGACTTTATCGAAAGTTTTATGGGAAATTTTTCCTATTTTGGCCGAGTCCCAGTGCCTTTTGTTGAATTTGTTAACGCTAGTTTACCTATGAAAAATGTTTGCATCTTCATTTCCAAAGCCACATAATTACAAACTGTGGGGAATGAGGGTAAGAAAGCCTAAAACACCCACGTGAACTCAGAATCCAGTCCTCGTAGTGGCATTAGTCCACAATCCTATTCACGCGGCCGCTGAAAGATTGCATCCAAGCTCTATAGTGACCAATCGGTGTGCATATTGAAATGCGTAAGACAGAGCTTTTGTCACGCTGTTTCATACAAACATATCAGTGCTTGTTCTGCAGCTTTGGTGTGTGACACATATTTGGCCGAATTAGGTAAGGAGGCATCATACACAATAGAATTAGGGTAAGGTGTTGGTTCAAAAAAATGAGCTTAAACAAGCTTGGTCTGTCACTGAGTGCATTCTGCGAATGGTCTCTGGCTTGTGTTTAAGTGGAGTAGTAGAAGGTTGGGTAGAGTAGTAGGTTGGGGGAGAAATGGGAGACTGCGCCTACCTGATGAGCCCCAAGATAGGTGAAACCAACCATTGGCTGCTCAGGAGTTTTAAGCAACCTCATGCGTAGTGGTTTTAGTCAAGAAGTTGCACATTTATTTCTGACACACCTACCGAACGGCAGAATCTGCACAGTGATGTATTGTGCAAAGTATACCGTCCGCTGGCTTTGATATCCTTGACCGACTGATCTTTCTGTCTGACTAATGCCAAAGGATTGAAGGTCCATTAAGAGTGGCGGGCCCGACAACTTTCTGCACTGTTTATACAGCTTGGTTGAATCATAGAGTTTTCTCCACCGAATGCTTCACCATTCGGATCACGGTACGATGCTCGGCGCTACATCTGTGTCTCCAAACAGTCGCGTGTTGTCCGTTGAAAAAATTTACACTCCTATTTAAAACGGAATGACCTTTAAGTATTTCTATCGTTTGCATCTGGTTTAGACTTTGCAGTGGCGATTTCACAGAAATGTTGGCTGCGTCACGTGCACCGTGTTAGTATGCATGCTCTCACCACCGACTGCTGGTCTGTACGCTTGTTACGCCATCGAGAACGGAGAGACTATCTTTTAGGCACCAAAGTTGAATCTATATGACAGCGTTGAGGTTTATCTGCATTTATAGTCCCATGAATTTCGGTTCACCTAGAGATGCAACAGACCATTCGCAGTTGATATCTGATGATGCGGACATGTGAAATTACCCCCACATTCTCTGTGACTATGTGGAAATCATAACTCGATTGACGAGAAAATGCGATTTCCCACTCGACGTTCGCCCCAGGCGGCCCCATAACCCACGTGTGAAACGAAATTTCCTCATGAACTCCACGTTATTATTCACGTGATATGCGCACCGTACGACGGCCGATAACTTCACAGATTCCCTACGATGATCACTGTGATAACTGGTGATAACATTCACCAACCCACTATCCGTGAGTGAACCAGTCAGACGAAACAAAACCCATAGCAGATGCTTCAAAAGCTCGAAACTCCAGGGGAGGTCAGAATCACACAACTCAATCTCAAGCAAGGTTGTGCATCCCAGGGTGTTACTTAATCGTTTTACTGCTCATTTGCCTTATTTATCGATCAAATTCCTCGTTTAGTTGATTAACTAAGTCAATCGGTTGATCACAAATGAATCGGCTATTTTACTCTACTGCTTTTTGACTGTACTGATGTTTCCAGTAGCACGCATCAATCGCTTAGCTGGGTACACTGAAATTTCAGCTTGGATGTATGAGCTATGCACGTCACGTTCGTTTTTATCCAACTGCGGTCGGATACCTCCTATGCGGACCTCCTTTCAGGAATGCCAGCAGTGGTCTTTGTCTTGGGTTAATACTTTTTAAGGACAAAGGTTTCATAAAGGAAACTACTCACAAGGTTGCTGAAAACCCTTCGACCTTGTGAGTAGTTTCCTTTATGAAAATATACTGTGATATGTCGAATATCGTGCCAACTGAATCATTAGGCGGCCTGTGTGCAGCACATTTAGTTGGAGGACATCATAAACGAGAGATCCAATTGAGTCTCCCGTGATAACCAAATTGATTTGCAAATGAGTGTATTTCTCGACAAAGATTTCCTTACAAACTGACCGCTTTGCCCCGATTAATAGTTTTATGCGCTAGTCTTCGTAGCGTTACATCTGGTCGAAAGCCATATTTGGATATTTGCAACTTCATTTTCATACGATGACACCAAGACCGACAAAAGATGTCACAAATGGCACATAATCCGTTACAGAGAATGACTTATTTCGGGTGTGAGAGTACAAACTTTCCATTGTTATTGTTGGGAACGTCCCAATTGTTGCAGCTAAAAACAGTGACGCCGTCTCATCGACATGTCAGTATTTATAGACGTCTCTGCGCTAGAGCGCTCATTTTATTGAATTTTTAAAGGTGTTTTAAACTGGCGGTTTTCAAGAAACGCATTGGGCTGGTTTTCAAGCAAATTAAAACGGCCCAGGATGGTTTGTTTTCAGCGTTGCCTCCGATGGACTTCACCTTCCTTTCATTTGAGATGCAAATGAGATACAAAGCTGTCGGATGACTGTAGTTCTTCATTATATGCAAAGTAACCATTTGCTTAAGTTATGCTAGATAAAAAACGTGTTGATGGGTTAGCAGAATATAGAAACCCTTTTATTCTCCTTAGACGATACTCTGTTTCGGATCATCCCTAATGAAAACAAGCTGCACTGAGCAGCAACTCGGCTCCCACACAGCAGATAATGAGCACCGTCTGAACCGGATTTCTTAGACGGCGATAACGTCTGTCTGCTCTCGATGGTTCATTGATGCACACGGCAAGCGTATATTTCACAAACTGTCTGTAGCTACATATCAGTGCATGTCAAGTCGTCATTGAAGTCCCACTTTTTTCACCCAAACTTTCTTAGCAGCTCGCTGTCCTGCTGTTAGTATAAGGCTTCCAACAATGATGAGGCAACTGCGGTATGACTGTTTGACACGCTTGTATGCGACTCTTACCTACTCCTCCGTTTCAACCCCTACCATATGCTTTCCAATAATAGCCCTATTCGACCAGATTTGACGCAGCTGTGCGAGCAGATCGACAGCAATCTTGTAAAATGGCAAAGCTGATTGTGTCAAAAAGTCGATTTTTCCGGGTCATGGTTAACAGTATGCATTTTAGGTGAACAGTCAGTCAGAATTAGAACCAAATAAGTTGCTCCACCCTTCTTCCTTCAGAAGGGCAGGTGTTCCATTTTATGCAACTGAGGTAAGGTGTCCTGAAACGTAAAAAGTAGGTGAAACCTGGGAAGTTTATTTGGTACAACTGAAAAATTTTCCACCAGAAATGTGCGTACTTGTTGGGATATCAAGTAAAATGACGGGGAGAAGTAAGCGTTTGTTTTCCCGGTTGAAAAAGGCCAGAAACATCAGCAAAGTATTAAACTTTGTCCATCGTCTGAAGATCAATTTTACAACTAAATTATGTGGCATTCCTGAGTGATTCAGCAACACAATTTTCAGTAATGTTTCTACCCTTTTTCCCCACTCACCACATTTGTGATAGCAGGTATCTGAATCCCGGCAAAGTATTTACTCTCCTCGAATATTTTCCGATGCCTTGGATACAAATTTCCTGGAATGGAAGAATGTAACAATTGAATAAGAGTGATGTTGATCACATAGGCTCTGGAAAATATAAAAAGAAATCAGCCACTTTTTCACTACTCAGCTGAAGTGAGGGAACAGCAAATGAACTGGTGCTGTTTTTGGAATACTTGATACTTGATACGACAGAGCCCTAGCTTGAATGTTCAACTGGGATTTTCCCTCTCATTTGAAGTCTCATGAAAGGCCCTCGGCTTTCAGCTCATCATCAAGTTGGTGATAATAAGAATGATAATATTTTTGTGCCTTTATTTCCTGTCTGATAAGTTTTGGCGACCAAGAAACGAATGCCCTGCATAAACACAGTATGGAATGTACTGAGCAAAAGAATATCTCTATCGAGAATCTGCAATCCGCGCGTGAAATTTGTTTATAAGCGACGTTGTGTTACAGCTCATACTGGAATGTGCAAAGTTCAAGACGTATCCTGTGTTATTTGATGCGGGACAGTTCGCCGGAACCCTTGAAGTTCGATGAAGTTACCCATTAAATTTCTAATGAGTCAGGTGTACAATCCATCAACCTTTGAGAATTAGAAAAGCACACAGGTTTCCGCCAGAGAAACTTGATGAGAACATCTGAACACCAACTTATTTGCGTTCCCGCTAGATGTATCTCACGTTTTTATGGCGAACTGTTGAAAAGCTTATTGTAGTGACCCATTCCCTCAAAGTTGATGAACTGGAAGCCCGATGCCATTCAACGACCTTCATTCCATCAAAACTCCACAAATAAGGGATTGAATTTCGGAGAATTTTTGACAGTAGAACAAAGCTTATTTACAGCAGTAGCATATTGTGAACCAGATTCGAACAGTCTGATCGTGTGATTTGATGACGCTGCAGCATGGGGCTACAATGTTACCATGCACAGCATTCTAATCCAAATAGGTCAACCATCCCGACAGTGTGATCGCTCTATCACCAGTGCAGATTCATTCACTCATTTACACATGGAAGCTGTTTTTACCAGCTTCGTACAACAGAACAGTTGTTGGTGTATTATCCGGTGAAGACAACCATCTTGTCCTTTATCTACAACGTGCCATAGGTTGATGGTACTTTGAGGAGTGGGCCCGGGTTAGCGAATTTCCAGTTGACTGTCAGTCAGCAGCAGAATGGGGAAGTGTGTAGGTGTAAAGAAACGTCGTCAGCACTACCGCACAAAAAGCTCGTACAGGAAAGGAATACGGAAACGTGAAAGGAGATTGTGGGCCCGGGTTAGCGAATTTCCAGTTGGCATCATGTGTGACTGTCAGTCAGCAGCAGAATGGGGAACTGTGTAGATGTAAAGAAACGTCGTCAGCACTACCGCGCCAAAAGCTCGTACAGGAAAGGAATGCGGAAACGTGAAAGGAGACTTAATCCTTCAAAGATCAGGAACAATTTACGGGGATGCCGCAAGACGGTCCGAGAATCGATTGATCCCCGAACTCGTTGTCTACAAGCACCTGATCCGTAAGCTCTTAAAATGCCAGTGCGTATCAGGCAGCATTTGTTCTCACTCGGAAAACACAGTCGAAAGACTCTTACTGGACAACAAACCGAAACTTATTCTCTAGCTGGTAGATTGAGTTGAAAGGTCAACCCCTTCCTTGTCCCACCGCAGTCTCCTTTTGGACTAGCCTGCTCACTCTAAATATGATTTGACCAATCAACGCTAAATATTCTCATGTCATTTTCACGTCAACGAATCAGACTTCTGTTCCAGATTTAACACACAGGGGTTTATTAAACGGATCCCCACCAGTTTCTTTTTCCACAAAATACATCTCCACCAGTTTTATTACGCTGGCGTCCAGTCCGTTTCTGACAAGGAAAACCCTTTCCTCGGCCTTTTCAACTGTTGCTCTCCAGAGATAAACAGCTTGCACTAGAAAATATGGTCTTACGGAGAAGCCATTACTAACACGACTAGTTAGTTTAACGAGATGGTCTTTCTTTCAAATTCCGAAACAAAATATTTTTTGAACTCGACCATTTTAACCGCGAGCTTGTACATAACCATCATTTGTTTAGTAGGAAGATAAATTTGCTTGTTGGTGGCAGACAAATAGACTGAAGGTTCTCACCATTTGGGATGTCATTCATAAGCTCACGACTCGTCACATGGGCAGTATTTAACCACATTCACGCAGGCGATGTCGCTGCAACTAGGCTGAGAAGAGGGTCCATCAAGTAAAACGAAAAAATCTGATTACGCAGCAGTGTATCCCTAGTTTTCCACCCCTTGTGGAACGTGACTTTGGACACGCCAGTGTTGGGTCAGTGGGATAACAGTGATATCAACGTTTTTGATTTCGCATACGATGTAAACAATCACGAGATTCCTTTAGGGCAAGAAGTGTTATCGAAATGATTTCTGATAAGCCTTTTACTAGAGAAGCTTTTCAACCTGCACACCTGCAAAAGGCGAACGATCACACCTACCGTCAAAAAACATTTCGGATGCAACACTGTAATTTGTCTACTATTGGGAATGTAAGTAGGCAAAATTTGGTGCAAAAATGTACTTGCGAAGACTAGGCAGGTAAATCTACAGCAGTCCCGTTCCAGCGATGCGCCAAGGACAAGACACTATCTGGCATATTACTGGCTGAAACTGTACGAGCTTTTGCATCGAATAACGGCTATGTGGAACCTTCTATTTTGGTTTCGATGGAGACGATTGTCAGGATGACAAACAACCGGTTACCTTGCTCTGTCTAGGTAAGCGCAATCACGCTCCAAATGATTGATTGCGATATATGCAAGTCAGCCGTGATGATTATATAGTTAATGCAAAGAACAAGAAGCATAAATATTAATAACCTACTCACAAATGTGGAATTCGGTTAAGGTTTACTTATATATCTACCCAAAAAGTATGTGGTCTCGAAAGTTGGGTTACTCGTTCGGGGGGGGGGAGGCTTTAGAATATCGGTGAACGTTAAATTTTCAGCGATGTTCTTTATGGTCACCTGGCGTTCCACTGTCACAACTAAAGAATCCAAAGTATTTTAGGTCGGGTTCTTTTAATTATCGAAAGGAAATCGTGAGAAACGTCCTCAGTTTGAGGTAGACTGGGCATGACTGTTTTCAAGCTGGTCAAGTTTGTAGAACAACGAACACCAACAGAAACTCTTAGCGAGTGAGACAGCTTGCATTTTGCGGTGCAGTCCATGAAATTCATCAATATTTTACTTTTACTCTACTGGTTACATGGCGTTGGATGAAGATTCTGTCTATAAAAACAATCTGTCTGTTGGACAGCCCAAGTAGTTTCTACGAGACCGGAGAATTGTTCCGTCCAACCGATTTGGATTGAACTAAACCACTTATCACTCCAGCGAAATCGGTGATTATCCACCATAAATGAGGGGACTGAATTTCAGGAAGGTTCATCCTCCTCACAAGTTATTTCCCACGTTCTAATCAATACCATACTGTGCCGAATAAAGCGGGCTTCTAGGTTTGTATTCTCCTTTGTCACATGAATGGCGTACATATGAAACAGAAAGCCGTCTATTCAACTTTACTGAAATGATTTATTATTGTGTTTGACGAAACAAAGGTCTAGTTAGTCCTAACTGAATTCATCGCGCTGTCAGGACTCACGAGGAGCATTATAGTGAGGTAGATTGATGTGTGTTGATAAGAGCACACACATACACTCACACCCGGTTCAATAGTCACGGCGTTACCATGACACACACAAAAACGGAAATGGACAACAATAAATGTGAAACACACAAAAGTATCAAAATGTTTTGCTACGAGAAAAACAATTCTGGTAGGGGACAAGTTTTCCGTTTTTATGAGTGGTGTTCAAGTGCAGTTGTGAGAGGATAACCACTTCACAAGCGTGAATAGCGTTGATAGTTGGAACCCCGGTCCAATGAAGATCTTCCTCTCGTCCTAGCACTGTTTTACGATGCATGCTGTTTTCTCTGGACTCTTAAATTTTTTCCTGCCCGAAAGTGCAAGTTTGAATTTTTATGAAATTTCTTTACAGTAGGTTGGAGAATTTGTACTTTGCAACAGGTTTGCCCGTTTCTTCTGCGAAAGAGGACAAACTAGGATGGCCTTCAGACCAGCGCAAGGTGTTGAATTCCGCCAACGCTCGACGGTAGCTTGTTCGTCCATACATGTAGTCTTGTATAATCAGACTCATTTGCCCACCTTCAAAAGTGCAGACACGAGGGCTTTGATCCGCCAGAAGGATGGCTTTCTTGCTTGTCTCTTTTGTCCATTCTGATGATGAGTCCTCTCCTCATGTGGTGGATGTACTTGTCTGGCATGAGTGTACTTTTACATACGAACAGCTTTCCGTAAGGTATTCAGCATCTAGACTAGATATCTGAAAACCCTGATGCGCCTAAGGCTTAAGGCATCAAAGTATGTACTGATATAACGTTACCTGGTAAGAAAGTGTAGACAAGAGCACAATTCTACAGTTAAACCCAACGGTGGGTGGGTGAAGCATAACTGAACTCAGTGATTGGTTTGGGTTACCGTGACGACTATTTTTCGAATTTATCCTGGGCTGAAAAACATGTCAGTGTAATACACTTCATCTTATTCCCGTAACTATGAGAAGAGTAAAGAGCCGTCTTTCTTGAACGGGACAAAGTCTACCGTAGTTTATAAATGAAAGCCTTAGTAAATCCTAAAAGGTTGCCGTAATTAACTTCGCCTGCGTCAAACTGGCTCGGACTGTATGACAGAAAGAAAAATAATTACGGGATAAATGATCAAAGGTCACGAAATGTCCCACTTAATTTAAGTTACAGCGTCATGACACCAGCCTGCTTTGGACCTCGGCTGATGAACAACTAGTTTCATTTTACCAAATCAAGAACATCAAAATCCACATTGTGTTGTCATGAATTCCACACACATATCGTCTTGAACTTTCACGGTAATCTCATCAAACTACTGTGAGAAGGTAGGGTAATTTTCAGGTGAGGTTTCCCGCTTTAAGTAAAGC